TGCCGGGAGCCGCGTTACCGGCGCCTCGAGCGGGCCCGGACGCGGCGCTGAGCCGGTGGCGGGTGTCCCAGGCCGGTCATGGCGGCAACGCCGCCGCCTTCCTCTCCGGGCGGCCCGGAGCCTCCCCCGCCGCCGCTGCAGTACAGTCTGCTGCTGCAGCACCTGGTGGGCGAGCAGCGGCGGGCCCGCGCCTGGGATCCCGCCGCTTTCGGAGGCATCCCCAGCCCGCCCAAGAGCGAGGAGCAGAAGATGGTGGAGAGGGCCATGGAGAGCTGCGCCTTCAAGGCGGTGCTGGCTTGCGTGGGAGGTGCGGCGGGGGCGGCTGAGGGGGCCGGGAGAGGCTGGAGGGACGGGGTTAGAGAGCGGGAAGGGGGGGTGTCCCCATGGCCTTGGGAAAGGGGTGGATGGGGAAGAGGCAGCAGCACAGGGACCCCCCCGGGGACACCCCCAGTGTCTGTCCCGGGAGGGATCTCTGCCTGTCTGCCTTCCTTGCAAAGGAGGAGGTGTGCTCAGCCTTCCCTCAGCACAGCCCAGCCTGTCAGCAGGGAGGGGGTCAGCAACAGTGCCTGCAGGATCCAGAGACAGGCCACTTGTGTCCTTGTACTGCCCCTTGCACGCTGCAGCACTGACACATGGGGTGCTCTGAGGTGCTCTGGTGCCTGTGGGGAACGTGCTGCTCCAATCCAGCCAAGGTTCATTTTTACACTCTTTGTCTTTTGCAGGATTTGTTCTGGGAGGCGCATTTGGTGTCTTCACAGCTGGCATTGACACCAACGTTGGGTTTGATCCCAAGGACCCCTATCGCACGCCAACGGCAAAGGAGGTCCTCAAAGACATGGGGCAGCGAGGCATCTCCTACGCAAAGAACTTCGCCATCGTGGGTGCCATGTTCTCCTGCACTGAATGTGTGGTGGAATCTGTGAGTAATAACTTTGTATGCATTAATAAATGTTTTCTTGTAGACTTAATAATCTCTTTTACTAGATCTAAATAAGTATGTGTATCCCCTTTGTAACAGGGCAAGGGAGCGGGCTAGTTTATTCTTTTTCCTGGCCATCAAAGCTTTTCAGCTTTGAGATCTGTCTTCAGAACTGCTGTTCTCTGACAGAAGGAGCAGAAAAGCATGCAATAGTGAAGTCCTTTCCATTTCAAGTCCTGAATGTATTGGCAGGTGTAGGTGTTACTTTTTAAAACCCTAGCTACAAGTACTTGTTGTTACCTTAAAACATCAAACTATGAGTTGCAACATGGTAATTTGAGCCTCTAAAAATTCCATATGCAGAAAGCGATCCTTACATGAAAGTTACTTCAGTAAGAGGCCTATTTTCATCTTGCCCCTACAGCAAGAAATGACCTTGTGCAGCTCAGTGGTGAATCTGTCATCCATTTTCTTAAATAGGAAAATGAGCCTGTTACGAATTTCAGTACTGCCTTTTAATTGAAAGACACAATTACTTCTTAAATCACGTAGAGGAAAAGCGTATCTGCTCGCACAATGGAGTGAAACAAAGAGATCTGTGCCCTGGTGAAAAACTTGTGTGCTCTGGCTATGGAAATAGTATATCTTTGTCAGCAGAGTGCTGTGATTCTCACCTGTGCTGAGATCTGGGCTGTGGGGCCAGGCTCAGCGTGGCACCTGTGTGGTTGTAGTCCCTTTGAAATCTGTGAGCTGGTGCTAGTGCAGAGCGCTGTGTTCTGGGGCTGTATGGGCTCACCTGAGACTCTTTGCTGTAACACTGCATTGCACCACACGGATTTGTCTCACCTCTCCCCGTGACCCCCGTTCCTTCCTCTTCTCCTGGCCCTGCAAGTTTTTATATAGAGAGTGCAGGGAGCCATCTGCTGAGAACAGAGGGAAAAACATCCTCGGCTGAGAAGGGGCTGGAAGGTCATTTACTCTTTCTTGGTATTAGTACAGAGACTGAGTGTTTATTCCGTATTTATTTGTTGACTCTTGATTTTTAATTTCGCAGTATCGTGGAAAGTCAGACTGGAGGAACAGTGTTATTAGTGGCTGCATCACAGGAGGAGCAATCGGCTTCAGAGGTTGGTAGTGCCTGCTATAATTATTTCTGTGATAAGACTCTAATTTGGTTATGCAGTATGTAGTGTTTTTAATGTAACACATACTATAAATCTCTTTGCATGGCGTAATGGTGATGTCAACAGGAGAGTGCACTCCAGACTGGCAGAACTGCTATCTCTTCCTTTTCCTGTCAGCTTGAAAGATAATGTGTGTGTAGGGAAGGCTTAGTTGTACAGGACAGTGAGTTTGGAGGAAAATCACCAGAAGTGACTTGAAAGAAAAATCTGGAAATGGTGTTAGCTATCCACACTCTTCTGTGGTGTTGTGAGGAGGGACCCAAAAATACATACTGAGCAACTCTCTGAAGCTACAGCTCTTGTGTTAACAGAGCTCTACTTATATATACTATTTCACTGGCAGTAACTCTGTTAATTTGCACAGTGTGTTAAATGCTTTCCTCCTTTCTCATGTATCAATTCAAACAGACAATTCTATTTAGCTGTAAAAGAGCAGGAGCACTGGGATTTTAGGCCAGCAGGCAATAGTGGGGCCTTTGGGAAGCTTTGAGTACTAGCAACATCTGGAGAAAAGCCTCAAGTAGGAAGAGAGCTGCTCTGTTTAGCCGAAACATCAAACTTCTCTCACCTCTCCCTAAGAAAAAAACCTGTCCCCAGAGTGTAAAAGAAAGTGCTCTTGAAAGTACTTTTAATTGAGCTCGTTAAGTTGTATCTATCCTGGACCTAATCCTCTTAGAGGTTTCAAAGCTGCAGCTGCTCTTCCTATCCATCCCCAGTCTGATGGCAGAGCCACTCGCAGTGCCCAGATCAGAGAGCACTGAAATCAGCGATGGCATTTTCCTCTTCCAGCCCTTGGGGGGAGACTTTGCAGCACAGCACCCAACCAGCGTGCCGTGCTGGTCCAGCTGTGCTAGTGTGAGTCCCATGAGTGCCAGGTTCCCCTCCTCACCTTGGGGAGTGGTAGCACCAGTGTCCCCTGGTAGAGGGTCGCCAAGTTCCTGCAGGTTTAAGCTCTTGAGCACAGCATAAGCTAGTTACTGGGAAGTAAAATAACTTTCCTATTTCATCTCATTCTTTCCCACTCTTTTTCCGTTGCAGCTGGGTTGAAGGCAGGGGTTATTGGCTGTGGTGGATTCGCCGCTTTCTCCGCCGCAATCGATTACTATCTCCGGTAACGGTGGGATCCCTTGGGGAGCAAAGTTTCCCTTTTGTTCCAGTCCTGCTGCAAAGAGCCTGCATCACGGCAGAAGAACCATTGGGCTTACCTTTCCACTGCCTTTGGACTCTTGATCAGTGCAAGCTGGATGGCGTTGGCTGCTTTTTCCTGAATGACTAACAATAATCTGGCTCTGAGCCCTGGCGTGCTGCTTCGGGCAGGCTTGCGGGAGTATGCAAGGAAGGAGCCAGGAGCAGTGAGCAGTATCTCCAGCACGGATCAGCTGACTGTCAGTTTCCAGGAAACAAGCCTGGACTTTGAGCTTTTTTTTCGATCCTTTGGGTCTGATTTTAATTAAGTCTGTTGCTAGCATCAAAAGAGGCAGGAGGACAATCTTCAGAAAGAAACGCAGTGATTTAGGTTACCATGTATTTGAATGTGCTGCAAGGGTTTAACAGTTATCAGTTTGCAGCTTGCTACTCTGTTGGGGAGAGGTAAGATCCTGTGGAGAAATAGTTTGTTCCAGGCTTTTCTTAAAATACCAGCTGAAGACAAACCACCATCTGTACAACTTGTCTTATTTCAAGTACAGAGATGAGAGCCAGATTTCTTTACCATGTCTTAAAGGGAAAAGCAAAAAGGAATCCTTAGCCTTAGAACTGTGTGGTTACTGGCAGATGAACAAAACAGTTTAAGGGGGGAAAAAAAGAGGTTGTTGCAGAAGTATGATCCTCTGTAGCCACTTGGCTAGCCTGATTTAACCTCGCTGTGGGAGTACAAGTATCTTGCTACTGCTTTAACTGCCTCAGGCTCACACCATTAGTTCCAGCAGTTTGATGGTGACATTAGAAAGCAGAGATGTGAGAATAAACCACTGTTGGACAGATAGCTGGGCATTCACTTAACACACAGTCTGTTTCCCATCACGTCCCTGTACCACCTCTGAGTGCCCCAGCATTACACTGGGGAAAGTGAAGTGTTATTTCTGCAGAACACTGGTACTGAAGTCAAAACACGTGTTGGTTAGCTCAAGGAGCTGCTCCCTTTTTGATTTGCCTTCATATTAGCCCTCTTGCTCGTCTAACCAACCTCAGTTCTCAGGCCTCGGGGGGACAGTTTTTACACTCAGAATAGTTTAGGCTGATTTTAACCGTCGTCGAGCCACCCTGCAAGGGCAAACACCCACCCTCATCTTTTTGAGGCAGCGGGATTTCAGATTCAGTGCACACACCTAATGGTGGTTCTCCCACCCTCTTCCCCTCCTTTACATCCACAGTTTGCCATCCCAGCATGGTGACAGCACTGGCTTACCTGGAGGAGCAATCCTAGCGGGGTGGTTTGGCTGATAGAGTGGTCAGTTTGGAGGCATATTGTCTCCCGTTCCCACACGGAAAGAAGTGGGGAGACAGCACCATGTGATCTATCAGATGAGGTTTCCAGATCGCCTGATGGCCCTTGCTGTGCCTGTTCAGTATCCTCAGGCCAGAAGCTGTGCAAGTCAGCTGAATTTTAAGCTTGAGTAATTTGGGGCTGATTAAACAGGCTGGCTCCAGACAGTCCAGGTTTTTTTATTCCTCCAGAACGTACTGAAACGCAAGGATGTAGCCCAAACCATAAGATGTCTCTTAGAAGATTGTCTGGCACGAGGCCTGTGCTTATACCACTGGCCTGATGTGCAATTAGCAAGATTTCCATGCTAGAAAAAGAAGAAGCTGTGATGGCAAGGTGAACAGTTAGTGCAAACAGCAACACCACGGGGCTCCTTTTGTGCAAATGTTGGGGCTTTGCATTTTTATTAACCTTTTTTTTTTTTTCTTTTTTTTCCTCCTCACATGGTTTACAGCCATTTAAAGTTTATAATCTACAGAAATTGAAAACAGAACACAAACAAAAATATATCCTTAACAACTTTTGAAAGTCAAATATTAATTAACAGTTCTATTCTACCTGTAGCTGCAAGAGTCCAACCCCTGCCACACACACCCCCTCCCCTCTTTTCCTTCCTGTAGGGACAAGCAGAAGCCAGTCACAGGGATGGCTGCAGCCTGTTGTGCCGGGGCTGTGGGGACCAAGCCTCCAGCCACTGTTGCTTGGAGAGGAGGAGGAGGAGGAGGAAGGGGGCGGGGGGGAAGATTTGGCTGTACAGAGTCTCCATCTGGAATGACAGTATGGTGGACAGAGACTTGGACACGTGTAACAAATCAAGACACACACACACAGAGGGATCCGTTGTGCGGTCAGATCTAAAACTCGGCCTCCTTTACAGGGTCCAGGGCCAAGGCAGACGCCTGGTTATTTTCTGCAATGCTGTTTCCCTTCTCTTCAGCTGGGAAGTCGAGAGGAGCAGGGTCTGGAGTGTGAGCCCTTTGAAGGGGGGGGTGGGCAGGACTGAAAAACCTCCCCTCCTTTAGTTGCTTTGCTGGTGCGGGGCCGGTGGGCGCTGCCTTCCCCGGGGAGCTGGGCTTGGGACATACCTGGTGCACGGGTGGCAGGCGGCCGGGCTCTACCTGGAACAGTCTGTTGGTGGGGAGGGCAAAGGCAACGCCGCTGTCGGCCGGGGAGATGCTTGGTCACTTCTCATCCGTCTCCATTTGGCACAGGAGAGAGAGCGCGGGGCCAGCGGCATCGGGGAGGGGAGGGGGGGCTTTTCCCCACGAGGACACGGACTCGGCTCACAGAGCGAAAGGTTTCGTGTCCCAACAGGTACCAGCACCTACCTGGGATTTGTGGGGGACATACTGGGAGCCAGGCACTCGGGCAGACAGAGCACAGCCTGGCGTGTGGCCATCCTGCCTTGGGACATGGCGTGACAACTCCAGCCGTCAGCCTGGGGGGGTCAAAAACTGGAGCCACTAACCAAAACAGACCTGAGCTGGCCGGGCACGGCGAACCCAGCACCAACTGCTTTGTGAGAAAGAGCAAACAAAGCGCTTCTGCCTCTGGCAGTGAGGGTCAGGAAGGCTTTCCTCCTCCTCCTCCTGTCCCTCTGCACTGGTTTCCAGGCTGGATGACCATCCAGCTGCCACATGGAGCACTCACCTCCAGCAGCCCGGCTTGCACTGAGGCAGGGCCATGTGCTGCCATTTGCCCGGTGCCCAGAAACACAAACCTCCCCATTCTCATGGCCACAGGAGAAATGCTGGTGCCTCGGCAAGCTCTGGCACAGCGTTGGCAACCCTTATGGCAGTGCTGTGCTGGCAGGGGGTGGGTGCACACCAAACAGCAGGGACCCTGCCCCACCAGGGCTTGATGGGGAAATTGGGGGATCCACGTGCCCTAATGGGACCCGGGCAGTGCCACAGCACAGACCTTGGGTCAGCCCGTGGTGGAGGAAGCTGGACGTCCCTCCAACCTGCCGTGCATCGAGACCAGGACAGCACCTCTCCCTCCAGCCTGTGATGGGTCACCCCCAAAAAGCTACTCGGGGGCGAGATACAGCGAGGGAAGTAACCACCATGCTACACGCACAAAGCACAGGATTAGGGCTGTAGAGGGGACTGGCCTGAGAGTGCCCAGAAGAGACGTGGCGAGGAAGAAGCAGCACCCTGCTCCTCGGCTCTCGTGGTCGCAGGTTTGCTCGGGCCAGAGCAGGATCCAGGCACGGGGTAGGGGGGGTCCAACGTTCGCGCAGGCAGCAAGGCAAAGCAGAGCTGGTCGTCACCGTCACCGGGGAGGGAAGCCCGTGAGCTCCCAGCCTCTGAAGCGAGCCGGTGCTGCACATGCAGGCGTGGGGCAGGGGAGAGGAACAGGCACTCGTGGGATGCTGCAGGCTTCGAGCTGGGCGAGACGAGGGGTGCCTGGTAGGAGTGAGCGGGCAGAAAGGAGTCCAGGAGAAAACGAGCCAAGGGGGAAGCCTGTGTCCACAGCCCTTGTCAGTCACTACCTCTTCCGTTGAACAAATATACATAAAAAACAATTCTTGAACACAAGAAGGGACATAAGACACGACTACTTTACAGAGAGGCACGGCGCCTGGGGTGGGACCGGGCCACCGGTACGCAATTGTACAGGAGCTGCAGGTGGCACCGTCCTGGGTCCGAGCCGGTCTCCCTGGGGGGGCTGCCATCCAGTCCGTGTCCCCCAGCAGGGAGCTGGGAGTGTTTGCGGCTGGTGCCTTCTCCCTGCAGGCTACACGTCCGTGGAGAAGTAAAGCGTGTTGCGTTTCAGCTCAGTGAAGGAGATGGGAGGATGCTGCAGGTAGTACAGAAGGACCTGGACCTGTCGGGGGCAAACAGGGAGTGTTAGACCAGAAAGAGACAGAGCTGCCACCTCCCAGCTTGTCCCTGTGCAACCACATCCAGCAAAGAGTGACAAATCTACCCAGGCAGGTAAACCCCTCTGCTCCCCACCCCAGGGTGGCCACGCTGCCAGCACGGCTCTTACCTGGGCCATCACATCGTGGGACCAGATGTCGGAGGCCAGGGTGAGGTGTGCCTTGCTCTCCCCCTCTGAAGGTCTCAGCAGTGTTGGCCCGAAGACCGTGGCCAGGTTGTGGAGAGACATTTTGTTGATGGGCTCCTTTTCAGCTACCCTGCAGGGTACGGGGGGAGAGGGAACGTGAGCCCCTAAAGCTGTTCTCCTGGAGCAGGGAACAGCCATGGGTGACACAGAATCAGAGAATCACAGAATCTTCTAGGTTGGAAGGGACCTTAAAGATCATCTTGTCCAACCGTCAACCTAACTTTGACAAAAATAGACACCCGCACAACAAACAAAAAGCAACACCATCACTAAACCATACCTCCCAGCACTACATCAACCCGTCTTTTGAACACCTCCAGGGATGGTGCCTCAACCACCTCCCTGGGCAGCCCATTCCAATGGCTGATAACCCTTTTGGTGAAGAAATTTTTCCTAATATCCAGCCTGAACCTCCCCTGGAGTAACTTGAGGCCATTTCCTCTCGTCCTGTCGCCTGTGACTTGAGAGAAGAGACCGACCCCCAACTCTCTACACCGTCCTTTCAGGGAGTTGTAGAGAGCAATAAGGTCTCCCCTCAGCCTCCTCTTCTCCAGGCTGAATAACCCCAGCTCCCTCAGCCTCTCCTCATAAGACTTGTGCTCCAGACCCCTCACCATCTTTGGTGCCCTTCTCTGGACACAGGGACACAGGGGGTGGGCGAGCGCCCATCTCCTTTCTCCCAGCCCCAGTGGGACACCTCCAGCTTGCTGTGGCCTTCCACGGCCCTCGGCAAACCCAGGTGCAGGGCAGGGAGCTCTGCCCCCTTCCCGGCCTCCGCCGGAGCCTCTGGGCCTGGCTGGGAGCCCCGGGTGTGATGTGGCAGCGACCAAGCCCTTGCTTATGTGCTGCGGAGCCTCCGCTCTCCCCGAGCCTCGGCAGGGAACGGGGAGCTCCGCACCAGCCCCTGCCTCCCTGCACCCTCTTCCTCCCCCCAAGGCTCCCTACCCCTCCGACCCCACGGGACCCCAGCCAGCCCGCACCGAGGGAAGCAGGGCCACAACATTGCCATGTTAGGAGGCAGCTGCGTTCCCCGGCACAGGCTGCAACGGTTGAGCCCCGGCCAGGAGAGCAGATGTGGGAACTGGCTGTGCCCGGTTCTCAGGATGGAAATGGATTTATTTTTTTTTTTTTCCCTTTCCCCGCCCCCCAGCATCAATCACTTTTTCTGTTTGGTTTTAGCCAAACCAGAGGGGAAAAAAAAAAAACAACACCAAAGCACTTCATGATGCAAGTAACATGAGCCGTGAGCCCCGGTCCCAAACTCGTGGCCAGCTCCAGCCAGGCTCTGCGTGATGCACTCCCACCCTGCCCACAGCCCCGGGCCCTCCATGGGTCTCATGCCCCCAGCAAGCCCCAGAACCATCCATCCTCAGGTCTGAATGGGCTTTAGCTGGGCCAAGATAAAGCCTGGAAAACCGTAACGTTGCTGTACTCGCCCCAGGAGGAGTGACACAGGGCATCACCTGCAGCTTTGGGACACGTCCGCAGAACTGATTGTCTCTGGGTCTTGCCCACCCACTGCAGACAAGTTACAGGGGTTTTTGCACCTTGTTCTGCAGGGTCTACTGCTGGACTGGTGGGAAGGGACGCAGCACTCAGTTTTCCTGCTAAGGGAGACACTGCACAGCTCTCAGCTGATTCCCTGTCCTGTGTCGAGGCCAGCTGCTCCCTGGGGACAGCCCGTCCAACCAGCTGCACACCCGCTGCAGCAGCCAAGAGCTGCATCTTGCCAGAGGATGTGTGCTCCCTGCAGAACTGACCCTCATCAACAGCCACGCACTGCGCAGTCCCCGCTGGCACCATGGCTGGTGGCCCTGGGGCTGCTCTGTGGGGCAGAAGGGCTCCAGGAGCCCTCCAGCATCCTACAGGACCCATGGAGAGGAGCTGTGGGAAGTCAACACCAACATCAGCCAAAGGGACTCATGGTATGCCAGGTCCCAGCTGGACAAGGTCCCTGGTGAATGTGCCTGAGCCTGGGGAGATGGGGCAGGTGGGACATACCTGGGGCTGCAGCCTCTTGGAGGGGCTGGGAGGGGAAAGGGCCACTCTGTCACCTGCCCAGCACTGAGCCACCACTGCTGGCCACGACTGCCACCCTGCTCTGCACCAGCAAAGCACCATCTGCCTCCAGTTTGGGATCAGCCCGTGACCACGCAGGCATGACAGGAATCAGACTGGCTCTAGCTCCACTCACATCCCATCCCCACAGCAAAGCAGCGAGACAGACCTGTCCCGCACCTCCCGCCCATGCCGGGCATTCCCCTGGGACCCGCAAACCCCGCCGTTACCTTTTCAAGTGCTCCAGCAGAAAGAGGAAGGTGATGAGGTTGGGGTCAGGCAGCGAGCGGAGAAGGTGCATCATGCAGTTCTCCTTGGCAGCAGGATCCGAGAGGGCTGGAGACAAGGAGGGAGAGGGCTCAGGACAGGGGCTGGTGACATCTTGTGCAGCATCACAAGCCCTGAGCTGGCCTCAAGCTGGCCAGGACAGCCAGGACCGAGTGGGCCAAGCTGGGACGGACCCTCAGGAGTCTCCCATCCCACAGCAGGCAGTGCCAAACAGAGCCACGCTTGGGCACCAACCTGTTCCCCATCCCTGATCCCTTACCGATCCCCTCCATGAAGGCGGGGTAGAGTCTGTCAGTGAGGAGGGGCTCGGGCAGCTCGCGGAAGTACAGCTTCAGGGTGCCAGCGATGGCGTTGATGTCCATGTCACTCAGCATGACCAGGATGTCCTTGTTATCTGTCCAGAGAGCACCCACACGTGACGCCTCTTGCACCTCCTTCCCCTCTGGGTCTCAACCCTCCCGTGTCACCCCAGCTACCCAGGGAGGCTGCCTGCTGGAGGGCAGGGACAGCACCGCTGGGTCCACAGCCCCGTGGAGCCAGGCTGGGGCTGGGAAGAGCCGAGTGGTTCCTGCCTGGCTGGGCAACGGGATGCGGAACAATTTACAAATCCATTTGCAACGTTGCCCTGACTCAGTGTCTCCCTGGAGCCAGCCAGGCTCGGCAGCAGCTCTCAGAGACATCAAGGAACAAAACAAGGTTGGGACCTCTGGGCGTTTGTTTTCCAGCTTTTACACCCTCCTCCTCACCCCCAGCCCCTTCCTGGGCACACCAGCACGTTTTGCACACATACAGTGCAATAACCAGACCGTGGGCTTCCAGGGCAGGGGACCTGGGGGGAGTCTCAGTGCCTGCAAACCCTCCCAGGGGAACATGATGTGAAGTGTAGCCATCACCCAGGACACTCACTTGCATCGAAGACAGCTTTTAATGCCTGGATATCAGTGGCGACACCAGAGATCCTGTAGATGCCGACCTCTTCGATGCCCCTCTTCTCCACCTCCTCGATGCACTGGCGCACGATGTAAGGCACCTTGGAGCGCTCACGCCTGGCTCGGAAAGTGGAGGCGTCAGCAAAGAATCCCAGGGGACCCGCAGTGACCAGCCCAGCCCGTAAACCCTGGGCCAGGGGCAGGACGGGTGGGAAGGAGGGAGCTGGTGAAGGAATGGGCTAATTCCAGGAGACAGCAAAAGCCGAGCTCTCTGGTGAGGGGACAGGGACGTGGTGCAAGGGTAGAGCAAGGGGACGTGGTGCAACCCCACACCCACAGGGACTGGAGCAGATCAGCCCCCCCCAGCCCCACACATACTTTGTCACGACGCTGATTTTGACCCCGAAGACACCGGTCTGCTTTTTGGATGGAGTCCTCTTCAGGCTCATGTCTCTACTTGTGAACTTCATGGAGAACTCCACCTTGATCTGTGGGAGACAGGGAGTGAGTCCAAGCAGCCTGGCCCTGGCCTGTCACCTCCATGTCACATGAAGTCACGGCACAGCCCCGGGGAAGGGGCTGCCATCAATGTGAGGGGCTGTGGGTCCCGCTTACCCCGTTCATCTCAATCACGTCCATGTGCCAGTTCTTTGTCTGCACAGCCTGTGGGTCCAGCTGCGGAGAGAAATGGTGTGTGAGCTCTGCAAGGACGAAGCCCCATGCCAGCCCCGCTGGCACCCCAGCCCAGCATCCCCTGAAGCCCTCGACCCACAGTATCAAGCACAGAACATGGCAATGTGCTGCCCATGGCAGGAGGACGGAGAAGGGAAGGTCTGGGGTCCCTCTGGCCATGTCCCGAAGCCAGGTGGGCTCAGCCTCCCTGCCTGGCCCCCAAAGACCCTGCGCCCCTGCAAGGCAGTGCTTTAACCCCCACCCGAGCAGTAAGAAACTTCCAAGAAATCAGGACTATTTCTGGCAGCAGATTGATGAAACAGAACTAGGGCAGCGTTTTCCATGCAGAAAAACAACATCTCCCCATAGCCAAGGCTATTTATAACCCCTGGGAATGACGGGCTCCACTATTTCTGGCTTTGGGGCTAGGGGGGGACTCGGTGACGCTGCCCCGGTGCCCGGCCGCTGCAGCGAGGTGCCGACATTCCCAAGGTCCTGGCACGTGCCACGGTGGGCACTGGGCCCCAGGGCTGGGCAGAGGTGGGTGCAGTGGCCTTTTGGGGCTTTTTGGTCCCCAGCTGGTGGTATCGACCCAGTCCCATCGATCCCTGTAATGCACGGGGCGGGCAGCGGGGCAGAGCCCGGCACTAATGTCCCCTCGGGGAAGGGGATGGGATGCTGGAGCCTGGCAGGGCTGGCGGGGGCTGTGTGCATGCAGCTGCCAGGCGAGGCTCCTGCCAAATGTGCAGGGTCACTCCGCAAGGACACGGGAGTTTCCTACAGCTGCTGGGTTGGGAGATGCTCCGGGTGAGCGCAACGATGTCCAGAACTGCTGCTGTGGCCACGGAGTTTCCATTCCCCTGCCCCAGCCTTTGGCTGTTCCATGAAGCCACTACACCTCATGATGGGGGCAACCACAAGGTCCCTCATGTCTCTCCTTGCACACCAAGACCTCACACTCCTGAGGACATGCTTGAGCTGCCCTGGCTGTCAGCACAGACCCAGCACTGTGGCATCACCCCGCACCCAGCCCTGTGCCACGGGGAGCCCAAGCAGCTCCTCCACCAGCCGTGGTGCCACGGAAAACACTGCGGTCTCCAAGCTCCTGACGTGGAGCCTTCTCTGGCGCCCCAGCCCATGGGAGAGCGCAGTGAGCACCACGCCACCTCCTCCCCACCAGCCCTGAGGCTGCTGGGGAGGGCAGTGGGGGGAGGAGGAGGAGGAGGAGAAGGAAGAGGAGGAGGAAGGCTGCAACTGCCCTGGACTTCTATGGGGCCCTGCAGCAGGTCTGGACACCAGGATCATGCTCGATCTCCCCATGGCACCTGAGACCAGACACAGGCAGCACTGCTGTGCACCCATCACGGCCAATGCCAACCCAACGCCATCTGTCCCAGGGGGCTTTCACCCCTTTTCCCTGCACAGCCTGGTTCCACGCATGGCAGCATCCAAGCCCTCCACCCCCCAGCAGAGCCACGGGCCTCCCCTCTCTGCCGTGTGAGTTTAATTCCAACCACTACATGTGCCTTCCCCATCCCTGTCCCCTGGGTCCCCCTGGCTCCGATGGCCCTGGCAGCTCACATCTGGAAGGGCTTTAGCAGGACTGTGAAGGAAGCTTTAATAAAAGCCAGGTTGGCTGCTGCCAGCGCCACAGACGTTACCCTGAGCATTCCACCTTGCCCCCAGTTGGGCATAATCATCCCCATCCTGCTCCCCACAGCAGCTGGCACGGCCCCTTGGGCTAGTTCAGCTGATGCCATCGGCCTGAGCTCCCTTGGGGTGAGCTGTGCACCCGTGGCCTGGCCCTGGCTCTCCTCCAGCCCTGCCCACTGGCACCCCACGCAGCAGGCAGCACCACCACACTGCCTGCTCCCTGCAGGAAGCAAAGCTGTGGCCGATGCTTCGTCTCCAGGTGTGGGTGGACGGATGGGAGCATCCACCCACAGTGCCAGAGGCAGCTCCTGCCCACACAGTGCTGGCAAACACCCCATCTCAGCTACCACCACCATCTCCTTCTGCTCCAAAGGGAGCTGCCTTGCTCTAGCACAGTGCAGGGACATCCCAAGCCGGTGGGGAACTGCTGGCTGGGGAAGCCCAGGGAACAGCCAGCACTGTGCCATCCCTGGCACAAGTGACATGTACCCCAAGCATCTCCTCTTCGGCAGCTTGGCACTCAACTGGCTTCAAATGCCAGCCTGCACCCAGGGTCACCAGTGCCTCTCTGGGCTGCTCCCTCCTGTGTCTCAGGGGACTCTCGGTAGCGGCATGGCACCCAATGCCCAGGCCAGCATCCATCATGGTGCCACTCTCATCCACCATGAGGTGAAACACCCCCTGGCCCTGGCTGCAGGCACGTGCCAACATCCCCCTTTCCCAAATTATCTGAAGGTGCTTGCTTGTAGGACAAGGCCCCTGGTTGCAGAGGGAAAGGCGGCAGCGTGGCAGGAGATGAGCATCCCGGCAGCCCTGCAGAGCTCCGCGCGTCCTGGGTAGGCTCCGGTGCCAGAGGGAACCCCCCCAAGTCCTGCTGGTGCTTGCCCCCCACAGCCCCTGCCTGCTGCTTGTCTTGCACATGGGGTGACTCTGGACTCGAGGGGATGAGGCCACATCCTGGGATTTTGTCCTCAAGGCACCTCCGGGCTGTGCACCGTGGATGCAGCTCCTGCGTGGGCAGCAACAGCCGAGACAGACCCAGGCAGTGCCAGTTCCCCGGGGCTCTCAGGTGAGGAGCCGAGATGGCTCCAGACCCTCGTGGCAGCTCTCCAGGTCCCGGAGCGCTGGGATGCTACGGCAGGGCAGGGGCTGCCAGGCTGGGCATGTCCCTTTCTCGTGCCTCACCCATGAGGTCACCCAACCCTCAGCCCAGGGTGAAGCCATCGGGAGCAAACCCGGTGACTCAGCCGGTGAGGCCATCTCCGCCACGGTCCCGGGGAGCAGGATCCCGAGGGAGCTGCTACAACCAGGGTCACTTCCCATCAGCATGGCACCCAGGGACACCTTTGCCTGCCCTCCCACGGCCACTCTGCATCCAGTGGGCAGATGCCCCCACCAGACCCCTGCACTGGCAGCTCCCTCCCCATGGAACAGGGCAGAACTCCCCCCCCACCCCAGCAACAAACGCTGTCGGTGGCAAAGCACAGCCCCCAAAAAAGCAGCAATTCACAGCCCCGTCTGAGAGTGACCCGAGAGGCAGCAGACACCCACAGCACGCCGGGACCGCATCCTGCCCCCGCAGCCCCCAGTGCTCCCAGTCGATAACAAGCGGGGAAGCCGGGCTGGGGACACGTAGGGCTGGGAAAGGCAACCCCCCACCTCATGTTTTGACCCAGCAACAGCCTCTGGGCTCGCACAGCCCTCGCCGCCCCTTAATCCCCTCTGCGGGCGCAGCGGCGGCACCGAATCGAGGTTAATGCCGCTGCGTCACAGGCAGCCCCACCGCCGCCACCAAACCTCGGCCCTGCTGCCACCAAACCGAACCCCCACGTGCCCAGCCAGCTCCTGCAGCCCAGCTCCGAGCCAGCAGCTCCCCACGCAGGGGGACCCCGGCATAGGGAAACCCCCGGAGCCCCCCACCCCAACCATGAGATCGCGGGGACTCCAGGACGGCGTGCCGTGGTGCTGTGCCCCCCTTCCCTTGTCACCTCGGTTGCCCACCCCTGCTCTCCATCCATCCCACAAAAGCAGCCAGCACCAGCTGATGGGGCTGTGACTGGGGGAAGCCTGGATGGACCTGGGGTGGGCGAGTTGCAAACAAAGCAGCACCCTAGAGAGAGGGGGTACGCAGGCATGGGGGGGGCTGCAGCACCCCAGGAGCCCGACCTCAGCCAGGGCAGGGGAGCTCCCGACACAAACCCGTCCTACAGCGCACAGAGGGAGAGGGAAGGAGGGAAAGGAGCACCCCACAGGCTGCTGACTGCTTCTAACAGCTCCCAAAAGCACCCAAACAACCTCCTCGCTCCACGCGCAGACCCCACAAACTTTGCCCACCCCCACATATCAGAGTCCCCTGCACCCCTCAAAGCCACCAGCCAAAAAAGCCACAGCCACCACACACACAGCAGAGCCCGACAACACAGTGAAGCCACCCCAGAGCCCGTTTGGTGCCTGCCACCCTCCCTCCCCCAGCCCACACCCCGAAAAGCACCTTCTGGCGGAGCAGCTTGCTGCGCACCCTGCCCCACAGGCGGGCACCCGTGTTGGGGGGACGCTTCCCCTCGGCCTCCTCCACGCCGTGCTCCGGCCGCTCGCCCGCGGGGCTGGGGCTGCCGTCCGGCTGCACCAACACCTCCGTCATCGCGATGACCGCTTGGGCTCCGGGGAGGCGAGTGGAGAGTGTGGCCGGAGAGCCCAGGGATGGAGGTGGCCGGGGTTGATTTAGGACAACACCCGCATCCCTTCTGCTCCGAGCGGGAGGTCAGCGATGGCTGGGATGGCGGAGGCCGGCGAGGGGAGCCCGGCTGGGGCGGCGGGGAGGCCAGCGGGCAGGGCTCATCTTCAGGGTGTGAGCCAGGCTGGCGAGAGGCAGCTCGGCAGCCCCAAAAGCCTCCCTCCCTCTGCGAGGAAGTGACTCAAAGGC